TCCAAAACAAGCGGTATTGCTATTTATAACTAAGCCAGGCAGTTCCTCCACATCATGGTTATAAAAGGCAATACTACTGAATTATTTTTAAGTGCAGATCTGATGTAAATAAAACGTACAATAAGAAGGCCAGATTTTCTGTTTCTCCTCTTAAGGAAAATTGGAAGAGTCACTGCTGCTTGTTACTGACAAAGTACTAAATGCAATTACTTCTTATGAAAATGGGAATACTGCATCTTCAAACTATGTTTTGCAAAGTTTTTAACTTATTTAAAATAGCTCCAGTATTTGCATGCTGAACTGCCTCGATGCTCAGAAACAAACATGACTCAATTCTGTTCCACTGTTAACTCAGTATGGATACAGGAGTACATCTGTAAGATTAACCCTCACAGCACTACAGCAGAACTACCTGCATTTGAAGGAAAGGAAGCATCCCTGCTGCTGCTTAAACTTGGAAAAAAGCTAGGATAAAAACAAGGATGCCTTAAGAAAGCAAACATTCTCTTTCTTAAAGGTTTTCAACATTAAAGATTCAGTGGCAACAAACTTAAAAGAGCAATTAGTAATGATACAGAAAATTGTAGAATGGAAATCAAAAGCCTAGAAGAAGTACTGAGTTGCAAGAAAGAACCATCTTTACACAAAACACTTTCAAGCCTGAAATGAACACGGAGTTTTTAATCCCTCTTCTGAAAGACATAAGGGGCTACTATGAAAAGTTCTGTCTGTGCTATGGAGATTAAATCTGTTACAAGTCTTAAATTTGCATTTCTGATATATTCACACTGGTTTTTCATCTATTGTATGTGCCATCTTACAGTATTTTTTCAAAACCTAAGGGCTAGTCATATTAAAGTATTTATACGCTTTCTTTCAGAAACACCCAGGTATGCAGTACAACCATCTCCACATCTGGGTAAATGTAGAAATTAAGTTCTCTCAAAGGCTAAGAAAATTTAAAGTGGTACTTTCTAGAAAAGTTGTAAATAATGAAGTCTTTAAATACATTTCATCATGATGCTCTTCTATCACCAAAATATTATTTCAGCATCTGAAACATAGAGCGTATAAGTCTGTCTCCCTAATTCCTCACCTTTCTGCTTAAATACACTTAAAGTGCACAAAATATGCCCATAACATTTTCTAGTGGTCAGAAAATACTTTCTTTTTCCATCACCATAGCCCTTTCCTGCTCTATTTACTGGTGCAATACCAAACTATGCTAATTAGCTGAACTAATTGCATATGCAGATGGATATGAAAGTGTGGAAAACTGGAACAAAGAAGCCAGTTTGCATTCAGCTGGGAAGGAGCTGGAGTAGATGGCCTCTCCGCAACTCCATTTCAATCCCTGCAGGCTCTGTCTGCCCTCAGTGGGCAGCGGCACCCAGGGGCAGGCAGAGCCCACAAGGCAGCCCCACACGCAGGCAAAGTCCATGCACATCTTGAACTGGATCATGTTCAATGGGAAGCCCATAATTTTTCTTCCAGGGTATATAGCTCTGTTCCAAAAAAGAAATTATAAAGGGCTACAAAAGGAGCAGTAATCCAGAAGCTGGAGCCAGGAATGTATGAATCATCAGGGCTAGATCTGTGGCTGCTGGATGGGGCACAAGCTTCTGACCAGAGGTGGACTGAACCATGTGTTTATTTTGCCACCTTGGCGGTTTGGCCCTCCGACATCACTGAGAAACACAAAGCACTCAACGATGGCAGGATAAAAGCCCCCAGTAATGGAGAATGTTATAAAGAAGGAAATCTTTGAAGTATTTCCTTCCTTGGTTCCGCCTAGGTTGCAATTCAGTGTAATTCTTCCTTTGCAAACTTGAGATATTAGATGCCGCTGGGAAAAAGCCGATTGCTAAAACCTCTCCCACAAATCCCAATGCTGCGATCTTGCCGCGACCTCCACACAGTGCCACATCTGCGCAGGGGGAGAGGGAGGCCTTGGCGAGGAGGTAGACAGCTGTGCTTCATCCAAGGCTTTTGCTCTGCAATAGGGCTTAGCGCCGCCAGGCTGATCCTTGTGCAGGGTAAATCATCTTCATTACATGGGCTGCAGCGGGTATCTGGCTGTTTGGGGCCGCTGAGGATACACCCTGTTGCCCTCAGTCAGAGTGCAATGAAGCACTGGTCCTCCTCAGATAAACACACTGCTATCAATCTTGTAATAAGTTGGCTTGAAGACAGGAGGGCAGATGTAGGAAACTCAGCAACAGTTCTATTCAGCAGTGAGCGGCCCAGTCCGTGTTTCAGCTGAGCGCCAGAGCTCCTTTCTCCCAGCCATGCCACCGCAGCCGAGAGCTGCCCTTGGCCCGGCCTGTGGCCTGGCAGAGCACACACTGCTGCGTGCGGCAACCTCGAGCGCTGCTGCTGCTCCCCGCCATTTTCTCAGGTGAAGACCAGACCCCGTGAGCCAGGCCTGAGCAATGACTTCCTTGCATTTGAAAATGAAGAACTGGTAAGTCACCTACAGAGATAAGTCATTAGCGAGATACTCAAGTGTCCATCGGGCTGCCAGTCACACATGCACATCTTGGGTAACACAGGGCACTAGATGTTTAAGTACCTGAATTACTCCTTGGTTTTCAGGTCACAAAACTATTTCGCAAAGATGACTGGTAGGTGTCCATCAAAGAGTTTCCCAAGTTGATTTTGGAAAACAAAAACCCAACAACATCCAGTTAATGCACGCCTTTCCACTACTACAAATTATAACCTTGTTCCTACCTCCCAACAAGCTGCTAATTGTGGTGCTGCTTTCCAAGATCTTGTAGAAGTCTCCAAGATGGTAAGAAATTAAGCTTTTCTTTACATCTATCATTGCCTGACTTATAATTGCTGAAGCATTTACTGAAATAAATCTTCCTCTAGAGATGATTGTATCCTCCTTAGTCATGTCTGTGTTTATGCACGGAGGCCTTTAACGCTCTTCACACGCTTGCAAACTAAGCGGAGCATTCCCAGTGCCCAGCAAGTATCAGCAAGCACCGCTATGCCTCTGAAGCCGAGCCATATCCGGCAGACATCACAGACGCAGATATTCTCAGTAGGACAGGATGGAAAACAGCATCTTGCTTTCTGGCAGCTGTGACAAACACTGTTCACACCTGTGTGGGGCAAGTCCCTTTGCTTTTGCCGCTGGAATTTTTATTTAGTTGGATTGAGGCAACTCTACACCAGCAACCACATATTTTACATTTCACTTTTAGTCTTGTTCTTTGTTTAACTGTCTATTCAGGAGGCAGTATCTTTTACCAACTAAAATTTAGCAAGCCAGAGTGAGTTAACAGACAGTCTCATCTGGTTAAGCAACACATTATGATGGTAAAGGAAATCACCAGGTCTTAAAAACGACACAAAAAGGGATCAGTTAACAAAAACTAGATGCTTTCCACATCCCTCTCCTCTTCCTTTGCAAATCTGTAAAAGGACTACATGTTTGTGTTGAATGTAAAGAAGGTTTTAAGAGAAAGGCTGTATCAGGGAGAAAACTCAGAGAGAAAACAAACCATAGTCAGTCTTTATCATCTTCAGGATGGTTTTCAGAACCACACAGCACTAACTCAGCAAAGTCAAACCAGCGGTCGCTTACCAACTTCCATGCGCAGCAACTCAGAGACTGCCAAAGTTTAACTGCAAATAATTTTGTCAAATATTCATTTTCTCAATGTCACAGTATGATATTTCTTACATTAAATAGAGACAAGAGTATTAAAAGTCTGGTGCAAATGGCAAACATTATGCAGGTAAAGGGGCACTTTTTCTGCTTTGCAAAATGTTAGTTGCAGTTCTTCTGCTCTGTTAACCCTTTCTTCAGAAACTCTTCAGATCAATCCTGAGCAGCAAATGAAGCTGTTGCATTTTGGAAGAAAAAATTCAGAGAAAAAGAACAAAAATGTTCCATTGCAGAGAACAGAAGACTCCAGATATACTCAGAATAGAGGTAACTTTGCAACCACAGTACTTGATACTCTAGACTTAATCATAGATTGTAATACAGATTTTTAAAAGTAATTTTATGTCTTTTTATTAAAGAAATAAAGGTTTAAAGTATTACAATCACAACATTGATATCTATCTAGGGACTTGAACCACGACTATCCATACCTCTGCAAGCATTGAGTTATTTCAGAGATAAGAACAGTCTGGTTATGTAGCTACTTGGTTAGAAGAGTTTTGATTTCCACTCTCTCCTCCTGATCACTAAAATTCCTGGCTTATGAGATTCTCACAGCAAGAGGACGTGGGGGAATGGGTGGCACGCCAGCTGCAACACAGCTTGGGGTTGGCTATTTTCGATCTGTTGTTAGATTTCAGCCATCTCAGGGTATCTCCAGTATGAGCTACATCACCTCTGCTATGACAGCATGACTTTGGCCTCAAAATGTCTACAGTTGTGGTGGTTCTTATGGGCAATCCATTTGGAAAAAAATGCCATTTGCAGGCATTTCTTTCTCCACAGAATTCAAATGGAAAAAGTAAAACTTCTCTACCCAGAGAGCCTTCTCTGCTCCTTTTTGCTAGCCTTGCTGTCTCCACTGGGTCTCTGATGTGCGAAACAATCCACTGGAGCTACTGAAAATGGGTTTAAAAAATCTGATTACAGAAGGTGTTAGATAAAGGAAATGAGATTTTTGTATCAGATGCAGTTAACTGGTACTTGTTTTGTTGTTTTTAATAATGGTTACAATAAGAAAGCTCAAAACTTGCTCGTTCCCTAATTACTTTCAGCTTTTTACTTTTTTCCCAGCCTTTCTGATTCTTCTTAGAATAACCACTTTAAGTAAGAAAAGTAACTGTGATAGCATAAGTACCATATAGGATTTAATTGTCCTTTATTCATGTTGCTCCTCTAAGAAATTACTAAGAGCTTCATTATTAATACCAACAATACCAAAACCAGATGCTTGACTACTCTGATTAACCTTCTCAGAGCCAAAAATTGTCTTCTTTTTCCTCAAAGCACATATAAGGTTTCTAGTCAGAGTTCAGACTTACATAAAACCCCATAAAGACATCTTTCCTTCTTAAAACTTAGACATTTCAGTTTATTCAGTGACTTGATTTATAAAGGGACTGTGAATAACTTAGCTAAGATGTTCTCCACTTAAACAAGTTCCCAGAGGAACAAAATATTTGAGAAATAAGTAATATTCATAGAGTCTCATACACTAGAAAGAGTTTAAGAGTTTTGAGTACATTAAATAAAGATTACAACTGGGGCACTAAAAAGAACTTCAAGAACTGAGGCAAATAGCTTCAAAAACTTGCTTAAAAAAAAAAAGATCAAGTCTACAAGAAGTGCAGTTATTCAATTCTTCTATCTACAGTAATCTGAGACACATGGAGGAAAACAGTCCTAACATGCCATGAAGACAAAAAGCTCAAAAAACCTGCTGGAAAAGACACAGGAGATGTAAGGCATTACAAATCAGACAAAATCCTGCAGACAAAGGGAAAGGCAGAGAGGACTTTAAGGGACAGCTGAAAGAATAATTTCTTTAAACTGGTTCCTCTTGTGGCACAACAGCACACACGATCCGGAGCACTGACCACTTAAATCCACACTAACTGGGTCATATCCACACCAGTCACTGCTGGGAAATTCCTCCACAAAGGTGGTTTTACCACACCAATCCACTGCTGTCTGCCCTGCTGTATCACAGTGTGGCCATCAGTCTGACCATGCTCAGAGGTCATGGACAGGACGGCAAAAGAGCTTTGAGGAAGGTTTTGGAGAAGGAATTTTGTGGACTCTGAGCGAGCTCCTTTGCAGCATGTGAGGCCACCAAGGGGAAGGACAAAAGCATGCTGGAGAGGTGCAACAGGCCAGCACTGCATCTTTCGGGGCTAGAGAGAGCCTGCTGTAAGAATCATAACTGAGGTGATAGATGGGATGAGATTTCACCAGGTAGATGCAAAAAAATGTGTACATTTGAAGAAATCTGCTACTATCAAAATAACCTGCGAGGTTTGGACACAGAATGGCTGTCATAAACTACAGAAATGTCCAGGTCATGTATGGTCCTCAAGTTACAGCCCAAGTGACAGGCAGGATGCCAGTGTTGTCTGCAATGATCCAGAAAGGAGAAGATGAATATGCTTGTGCTAAGGGAGTAAGTTCTCCTACTGAGATGGCCATGACCCAGCTGACAGCTACAGAGAGACTCCTGAATTCCACTTGGGAAAGAAGGAAACAAGTCTGGAATAAGCAGGCAAACATGGAAGTCATCCACACAGAGACAAGAAACTGGAGAAGATGCTGTGTACAGAAAAAAGTAGGGATCAAAAGACACCATGTACAAGCCTCCTCTTAACCGGAAAGCTGGAGGATGAATGAAGACACATGAGAGGGGGTAAGAAGAGACTGTCAACAGTAAACAGAGGTAAAATATTCATGAAGAAGTGCATAGTGACCAAGTTGGTAACATGTCAAGGACTGAACCTTCTGAAACTTAGAATTATTCTTAAAACTTCTGAAAGTTTGTCAAAACAGTGAAAATATGAAAAAATCTGGTAATGGTGTTTTCTTAAATTGGCAAAGAACCTGAAAATAACTGTGAGGTACAAACCCAGAGGCTAATGAAAGTCCTCAGTGTTGATATTTTAAAGTTTTAGTCAGCTCATCATAGCATGCAAACAAAGAAATGAGGTGTCTCATTAACACCACGTGGTAGGATGTGGGTTAAACTCATCTTTCCAAAGTTTATTAACACCAGTGCCAGTGCAACTACGCACAGGGACACAAATTAATTACTAAGAGTGTCAGTGCTGAGTTCAGGGTTTAATGCCTATTAATGTTCAACCTCAAAAAATGCCATGCCCAAAATTGCTGGGAAATATTACAGACACAAATAGCTACAGCAAAATCATTCATAAAGTCACCAATAAAATGGCAGGAGGCTGTAATGTTAATGAGATTTCAAAAGCAGTTGTCATTTAAGTAAAGAAAACTATGGCACAGTGAATAGGCATTTTCCATGAAGAAGAAAGTCAGCTTGAAATCTAGCTAGCAGAGAACAGTTCAGTAAATCTCTTATGAATTGTTTGGGTTTGTAATTTCTTTTATCTATAAAAAAAAAAAAGAAAAAATGCTGATTTTTTTCCTGACCTCAGGAAACTACTGAAAGGCAACAGCAAAAAAACAACTCTTAGAGTGCTGCCAAATGGAACTAGTGAGAACATGAATTCTAGTCCCATTTTTCTCAGGATATGGACAGTTCAGAAGAGGGGTTTGGAAAGAGTTATCTTAGGACAGAAAAGCAGGCAAGGTGGCTCATTGAGCCACGTGGATGAGCTCCTCAGGTTGATTTGCTCAGCCTGCAGCCCTTCAGGCAGCGCGGGACACAGGCTCAGACTCTGGACAGAATCCCATATTCAGAAAAATGGCCTGATTCTCGCTAACATCTCCATTTCCTTTCCTGTCCCATTTATTTAGGGCATTCAGTAGATGATATGAATTGCTCTTCTGCAAACATGTAATTGAAAACTTTAAAATTCTTCTCTAGTTCCAAGTAAATGTCCTTAAGGAAGAAAAACATTGATCAATGTTGAATCATATGTCTGCTCCCTAATTTAAGTAACTTCTTAACTCTAAGGTACCTGAAGGGAAAATGTTTCATGCATGACCTTCAGTTGGAAAGGTTCTCTTATGCTTTAAAAGCCTTTAACTGCATTTGCAATATCAAACTTGCAGCAGACATCTTTTTTGGCCAGGGACCATCACTCAGTCTGACTCCTGGATGCGAAGGAGCATTCAGCACCAAACAAACCAGACAGACCTCTACATCACAGTATGTAAAATTATGATCTGCTCTGAAATCTGCGTGCCTGAGAAGGAAGGTAGGAATAAAAAAGCAAAATATTTTCATATTAATATTGATAACACATAGATATGTTCCAACCTGCTTTCAAAGTCTGACAGTTATTCATAATAATTCCTTTGAGCATCTCCCAAATGTCCCCTGAACATCTCTGAATTAGAAGCTATATGGGAGTAATTTGTCAAAGATATCCTTATGTTTATTTTTTATTTGGCTTTGCTTGGTTGCAATAGATTGTCAGGCAGTACATACTGAACTAGATCAACATACCAAAGATCACACTGAAACATATCCTGGCAAATCTATTTCAAGGGGATGTATTTGTTAGCTGTACAACTACCTATCAGGAGGAATAATTCAAATCACACTTACTACAATGCCAGTAGGACACAGGAAAAAAATCCTATTTTAATTTCTTCAGGAAACTGGTGCATTTTGTATACCAAGCTCTGCTTTTGCAGAACAAAGCCTGGGCCATATGCAAAGGCAATGGATCCAGACATTAATCTTCAGGCAAATCTGCCCTAGGACGTATTTCCAGTTAAAAGGTGGTTTAAATTTATAATCTGTGATTCTATGTGTGCATCAGCTCAGTCCTTTTCCTCTTTGTGAAAGAAATCATACTATAATATCTCAGCAATTCACACTCAGACACCAACAGCTACTCAGAAATGGAACAGATGCATCACTAGAAGTCTTTTTTCATTGTGTATTTATGCATTTACTATACACACAGATGCTGTGTACAATATAAAAGCACAAGAAGTTTGAAGAGTACTCACCGTAAGTGAGAATGTAGAGTGGTTTCCCATTGGTATCCATAGTGGTTAGGCAAGGAGCTTTCGGTGAGATGGTCCCCCATCGCTGCAGAGCTGCTTCCAGAGAAGGCGGCCAATTTGTAACCACACCTAATTGCTCCCCACGCATGGCCAACATCTGAGCTCCTTCTGGCTTTGGCTGGTTTGGATCTGGCTGTTGAACTTATGATTATGAAAAGATATACAGTTACCATGTAAATTCTATACCTTGTGTACACCTGTGTAACCAAGAGAACATGTTACCTTTGCAAAATATTCTGAAAGTAATAACACATTAGAAGGTATTGAGAAGCAACAGAGCAATAGAGCAGAATAATTAACTTTTAACTTTAACTGAGATGAAGCAACTGAAACGTCGTCTCAGGAATGCACGTGCTTATCCTTACAGTAGCTCCACAAGCAGGGAAAGAAACTGCTGAGGCAGCATGCATATATTTATCTTCAAAATCAACTTTTATTTATTTCTAAAGGGAGATGGAGAATACTTTTTCCTGGCAAAACTGCAGCAATGAGATGAACTGCAGAACTACCGAAAAAAACATACTTTAACAAGTCATCAGTAACAGACTGATTTAAGTCATGTTCTGTTACAGTGCCTTCTTATAAACTACTACGGAGACTATTTAAATTGCCACATCCTGGCAAAATTTAATTCTCAGAGTACTGGCCTCCTTAAAATAAATAATCCATGTATTGACTTTACCCTTGTTTCTATCTTACATTTAGTTCATTTTTTCAATGCTTCTCTGTTACACAAAGGATGTGTAAAACATTTAACGTGCTCCCTCACTGGCAGTTTTTCTCACATTGGTATTCAAAAGCAATGGCTGTAACCCACAGCTGAATGTTCTCAAAGCAAAGCTTCCCTCCACTCTCTTCTGTGGTTTCTTTGCAAGCAGAACCAGGAGCCAAGCAAACAAGACAGACTTTTGACTCTACGGCTCTACATCCAAGCTCACTACAAGCAGATTCCACTGAATGGCGATCGTTTTTGGTTCCTGCCAGTACAGGGAGGGCTTACTTAGCTTTCTAGAAAGTCAATGTGCTAGATAAACATTTCACAGAGTTTTAAATAAGAGATCCCCAAACCTTTTGAAAAACAGTCATTTTACCTTCTAACAATTCCTCAAAGTCATCTACAAAGAACTCTCGTAATGGTGGTCGTTTGGGCCGTTTTAGTGTATTGACCAGCTGTTGAATCTTTGCTGACACTCTGCTGCTCACTGGTACTCCTGCAGGACAGGGATCAATGGAGACATCAGTCGACCGCTACGCTGGACGCCACCAGACGTTACGTGGGGTAAGAAAAGGGCTAGGACTGCAAGGCCACCACAACTACAGTTTCATGCCATACTGTGACTCAAGTATTCAACATTAAGACATTAAGATCATTTCAGCAAAAAGGAACGACGACGTCTAGTTTAAACAAAAACAATACAACAAAGTCAGTGTGAGCTTGCAAAGTTAGAGGGGAAACAGCACATAGACTGAGGGAGAGAAGTGCAGTGAAAAACCCTCCCTACAGCAAACGTCAGTAGCCCTAGCGGACTCTTCTAAGTGGCTTTGGCAATGGTTGGTGAGAAGACAGGCACTGGCTCTTCCATGATCGCTGGTCGTACCAGCACTGACTGACTTGACCGCAGCACAGCGAGGAGTGTGGGCCATAGGCTCTGCCCCATCATTTATTCTGAGTTGCTCTTTACGTTGTAGTGGACATCTGTCCAGTACCCATCTTGAACACGGTTCACATCATTGTGCTATTTCAGTGTGACCCCGTATTCACTGCACATCCCTACAGCAAATCCCACCGGCCAGCAATCTCCAAAGGGAGTGCGCTCGCCCATCCAGGACCTCGAAAAACACAATTCTGAACAGAAGTATGGGGCAAGGGGCACTTTTGTAATATAATCCCATCAATCACCTCCCCTTCCTTTTCCCTAGTAGAGTGCAAAGCCTCGGCAACGTTCACGTCATCTGTTCCTGAACTAACAGCTTTCTGTCATTGCAGTGCAGAAATTTCAACTCCATACATTTGGCTCCAAAACTTTTACCAGTGGTTTTTAGAGCTGGAGCTGCAAAGTGTAGATGTGATACACCTTGCTGAAATATTGTTTAATAAGTTTTAGAAAAGAGGAGGTAAATAAGAAAGGGTTTACAAATAACTGTTTTTCAAAAAAAAAAAAAAAGAACAACTCAGTAAAATCTCAAACATGTCACTTTTCAAGATGTAGCCATCCTAGCATGTCGTGTTCTTTGCACTTGAAAGCAGATGAGCTGTAACCAGGCAGCGTGATAAAAGTAGATCTAAAGAGATTCACTGCTTTCTTTTGCCAAACAATTTCTACAGGGAATCAGCTCTGCCGATTAAGAAATATTTCTCTATGTCAGCTTCATTTATACTCATTTATTTTAGGACTGTAAAGATGTTGCAACTTTGAATGTGTTTATAAGTGAAAGGTGCCCAGAAGAAACAAAGAGCGGATGCACACAATAATCACTAAAAGCTTACAATACTGGAAAAGAAAACAGTTTCACTTTGAGACATACCATCACCAGTCTCCATAAGTTCAGCGTTGCCGTACTTTGGTGCCACCCGTGCCGTTGATCCCTGTGGTCTTTCTACTTGTATTGAGTGTTCTGAGGTGTAAGTGGTAACATCTGGAGGGGCAGAATGATTTTCTGTGAAAAATAAGTTAAAAGGTTTAACCGTGTACCTTTAGTGTTGAAGGGCAGAAAAGCAAAGGGCAGAGGAAATGACATCATCTGATTTTTTTTTCCCCAACATCTAAACAGGCGTTAAAGTTAATGCACAAAATGAATGAATACAACTATAATGTACAGCATTATTGTAATAAATAAAGTTTCCACTGATTAAAACGGGGCTGTATATCTGCAATCATATAAGCAATAGGCTAAAAAAATGATACAATTTGGTTGTAGGTTCTCCATTGACATTTAATTTCATACCAGGTTAAAGCTTGTAAACAGCCTCAAATAGAAAAGACCCAGACAAATACACTTCTGATAGATTACTGCGTTGGTTCTTCTGAATAAAAAGAACACAGCATGCTGTCAGCCACTTGCAAGTGCCAATGCATATCACTGTTTATAACCTCTGCATTTTGAATATGCCAATTGTTGTTACGAACAGAATTTGTTCCTATATTAGGAAATAAAATCAACCATAGCCAGGAATCCAGGGCAAAGACATGGAATGTAAAGAAATGTGAACTTTGCATTCTGCGTGGACACTTGCTTGTCTCCTATTTTTAGACAGAGCTATTTCAATTCTTCCGCATAGCAAAGATCTGCCTTCCAGAAGGCAAACACTCTTGGGTCTGACTCACGCCAGCACTGCTGAACAACTCCACAGAGCTGATCTTTCTCCTTCATACCTTGATAACTCAGCATGCTACCACAGTTTGTTTTCCCACATTTTTAAGTCTAAGTCTGTATTACCTATGTATTTGTGCTATTTTTATGGGTTGTCTCACAACTTTTTTCCAGGTTTTTATCAGTATTTGAGTAGACGGAGATAAATACCATGAGCAAATAACAACTTCTCTTTCGACTGGCATAAATGATTGCCAGCAGCCTTTGAGATACAAAAGAAGGCAGGTCTTCATCCCGCTGCCGCTGAAGTGAAGAGGAATGCACCCCATTTTACAGTAGGGTAAGTCTTTAAAAACGCAAAAATTCTGGAAAAACTCCATCATGTTCCAATACTACTTTCAAGATGTGCCTTTTATTAAATCTGTCCTATAAGCATTATGGTGCTGTAACTCCACCACAACACCAACTTCTATGGTAAATTTCACCTCAGATGTCATTACAATGCATTTTCATGAGTCTTGAACTTTGGATCACTGTAATTTTTGCGCATTCAATCCCAAATTCTTGCACGATCAACACAGATGACTGATTTTTGTGGCTACACATATAGCATCAGGATGCTACAGTAGGTGTTTCTTTTGCATACTGCTCAAAGGTAGCATTTGATGGACAATCATCATGAAAAAATAAGATATGATACTAACATCTGTAGTAGTTATTCAATGTTTATATTCATGAACATCACAAGGACTCAACCTTATCGCTCAACCATAGCATCTGGTTGAGGAAAACACAGGATGGGTTTTATCGTGCAACTCAAAAACATCTTGCATCCTACAAATGTCCAGTTAAGCCTTTTGATTCTGATCACATCCACTGTCATAATTTTACTGAAATAAACACCTTGTCTTGTGTTATAAGTGACGAACTGAAGTTCACTGATGACAATAACGACAATTAAGTGTCATGACAATGAAGTTTATGCTGGTAATTGTTTGAATAACGTCCTCATTTTAGATGTCTTGTGATTATCAACTACTTTAGACTCAGCGCAATTTTTGCCCTTTCTTGCTAAGTGGCACAAGCTTTTTATAGATCATGATTGAATTACTCAATAACTATGTCAATTAAAAAATGCTGATGTTTATCTTTTTATCTTTCACTTATTATGCACTTTGCTATGCAAACTGGAAAGGAGATCATGACTAAGAAAATAATTGTAGTCAGCTATTAGTAACATGAGAAAGTATTTTTAAAGCTAGCTATAATTATTTACATCTTCCCAGTGAAGTATTTCCATCTTTTAGACTTTACAAGGCAAATTCCATTGGAGTTCAAGTATCTCCTTTCAGGTTCTAGCACTGAGATGATTTTTGGTTTAATGCATGGGACTGAATACACGTGATCCAAAGCATCACAGAGCAAAGATGCTCTCCCTTCAGATTTATTCACTTAAAACCAAAAACTTCTTTGTAACACATGGAGCTAAGTAAGGTGAAATAACATGAGGAAGAAGCTTCCTGCTCTTTTGTAAAAGGGTTTCCTTTTGAACAAGCAGCACTGGCACTTACCTAAAAAGAAATTACCTAAGAGAAACTCTCTTCCCAAGGTGGCCATCACTGGCTAGCCAATGTGCTTAAGCACCCTGGTTGCCCATCTGCTACTTAAATTTCCATGAAGAATAACTGATGTGCAGCAGAAGAGGAACATTAAGGTTTGTCATGCCGTGTTCCTTTATGGTATGTGTTTAGCAGATGTCTTATCACGGCAATAACTACTGCTCTAAGTTTCATCTTAGATTTATGAATCCTGAGTTGGTTCCCTTCTCAGAGTCAGGCTTAGAGAAATGGAAGTCATACAGAAAAAAATTTGGTCTGAATGCCTTCTAAAGAAAAAGATAATTGTTATATTAGGTGAAATGTACTCTTCTTTGTAGAGAATAGTCAATCCAGGCTCAGACTATGGACACAGTCTGTATAGAACTGCTTGGTCTTACTGTTTGAGATTTACTTAAGAATAATGATTCTGACACATCTGTTGACTAAAAAAGTAGAAACTGTGACAGCTGCATGACTTCAAAGCATTTCCTCTATCAAATACACGTTATTTGCGTCACCTCCTCTTCCCATCTCTTCCAATATTCTTGCAGTAGATCACAGACAGAACAGCTGTTCCCAGTTAAGGCTCTCTTCATGTCTGCCACTGGAGTGACAGAAGTTGCCACATTTATGAAAACCAGAAAACCAACAACGCCGAGCACATCCACGTAGAGACAGAGCCTTTGCACTGACAGAGCCCCACGTCTGAGGAGAGGCAAAGAGGCGGATACTTTCCAGTGGAAGTTTGGAAACACACGTAAGCACCAGGTGTTTGAAAAGTCTCCAGGAACTCAAAGAGCATCCCTGCAATACCATACTCGAAGAAAATGCAGCTTTTTCTCCCAAACAAGCTGGCTCTTCTGATTGTCAGGGAAGGGAAATCCAGAGGTAGAGCTGCAGCTTTTTCCATCAGCTGGGCTTTTCCCATATTGATGTCCAGGTGACAGACAGCATTTTAAACCACTCTCCTGTATTATAAGTTAATAGTCCCCCTCAGAACACAAGAATTCTAAGGCTGTCAGAGAACCATCAGTCATGCCGTATGGCACACATATTTATATTTACTTTATTAGAAATCTATGTAGCCTTTAATTTGGATAGAGGCCTTTGATTTTTCAAAGAGAAATGTATTTAAAGCATATAAAAGAAACATTAAATGCACCTACAGGATCAAAATTTTGTAGTGAGATGTTTAACCCTTTATATAAATGCACATTATAGGTAAGCGCTGTGTGAATTTTCATTACATGAACTTTCTGAGCTTTGGGGTGTGTTTTGTGCCTTGATTTTTATATACGTATGGATTAAAAAAAATATAATACAGAGAGATGAAAGCTTAAAGACCTTAGAAATATTCACAGTACTGACCCAAAGATGGGTCAGAACATTAAATATTTCTTACAGATTTCACTGCTTTGACCTCTAAGCTCAAGAATTACCCAACACAATTGTGAAACCTATGCCAAACTAGAGATTCTCCCTGTAGCTTAGCACAGACACTTGGGCATTTGAAAGCTAAGAATATTTAAAGGATACGTATCCTAAACTGGAACTTTGGCCATAACAGAGCAGCAGCAGCAGCCAAAATAAATTAACGGCACAACATTAAAAGCATATAATATCGTATGCAGATTATCTGAATGGTCCATAAAGCTGAACTCTGATTACATTATAGTCAAACCTTTTTATCAAATCCCTTCTCGGGACTGCATTACAGTCTTTAAACTGGACAAATCTCCAGTTTAGAATCTCCAGATTCTGTGATGCACTCTAGAGGTCAAATCATAATAGTGGATACCAGAATGGAGGGCCCTTTTTTTGTTATCATTAAAGGTCTTTCCTGTTGCCCCTTAAATTTGTATTTATTGAAATAGAGATCTTCAGAGTATGGCAGCATGCCCTTCGATATTTACAGATGATTTCTCTCTTGCAGGCGGATCTGTCTCTGGAGAAGAACTCCCTGGACTGCAGAAACATCAGGCCATGGGAATGGATGTTCTTTGTGATCAAGCACAAATTGCCTCCAGTAGCTGAGGAGCTGCAGAGAACAGGATTTCTCTTCTCTCTCACCTCCTCTCCTAGCAAAGAGGATTATTCATCTATGATCACTGGCACATTGCTTCTGAAAGAGCATGGCTATCTGTGGGAATACTTCAAATCTACTACCTCTTAGAATACATGGAAATGCAAAATCCACCTCCTTGGATGGAAAACAAACAAAAGAGCCATTTCATTTCAAATTTTTACAGACAGCAGCTCACCCATGAAGAAATACACCTTACAGTTATCATTTGTGCAGTTTCTCTTACATTTCCAGGGGTCTTAGCAACAAGGACTGATGGTAACCTTAAGATCACAGTTTCAATCTGTTAGCAGATATCACTCATATTTTGTATCACAGTGACCTTTACATCACAACTACTGTCCAACTAGAGATGTAATTTAAGGTATCTTATTGTCAGAATAAATAAAAAAATCTATACACTGAGGTAAGCTTAATGCTTCCTTCACAGGTGAGATCTTTCTAGTCAACAAGAAGGCAAAATAAAACAAGTAAAAGAAGTAGTATTTTTCCTCTTCTGCAAAATATTGCCATCTTAATTTAGCTCCATAAATGCTGTATTATTTACCGCAAACTCAGTGATTATAAAAGAAGACTTACTGTGCCAGAATTAAAATGACTGAAATGTCACATTATAAGGAAGCTATATTTAAAGACACATTAAGACTTGGTGTGTGAGTAATGCAACCTTTTAGAGTTTGGATAAATTTAATTCTCTATGCTGTAATTTCCTCTAGCATTTCAAGATGAAGTCACAGAAAATAACCAAATGCAATGATTAATGTGTTCAGAAGTATATGTGTTTCTAAAACAAGGTTCTAAGCTATTCATTTAACATGAATTTAAGAATATAATAGAAATTCTTCCCCTGAATGCAGCTCAGCAATTCTAGACCGTGGTGAGATTACTTATCTGAAAATACCGGTGTTACACCAAGCTATACCCAGAGCAGAAAAAAACAGATACCGACTACTATTCCAGAACATAAAACCAGGAACATTTAAGATGCTTTCATGCGTCTCATGATAAATACTTGAAAAGGAATGATCAGCTGAAGAACAGTCACACAGAACTGCACTTCGTTTGTGCAGCAGAACAGTCCAAGGTTGGTTTATCTGTTCCAGTACAGATTCCAACAGATTTTCACTGAGACAACCCAAAATACACAGCCCCAGCAAGAGTGGACCCAAAGCAGATGCTCTGTATGATAAAGAGTAGTCACTGGAGAAGGTAGGGAAAACAAGCCTTGCTTTCCACATGCCTAATCAAATAGCTGTCTCATTTTAATGAAGACTGATATAATACTAAAAATAAATTATGTTTGTGATGCTTAGTCCTAATGGAAAGAAAACTTTGACTTCGTAGGATCTTTCCAAAGGATATAAACAAGCTACTACTACTAATAACAGATCTCTTATCTAAAGGTATGTAATAGACTTTCCCAAGGACTGTAATAGCTAGATATCCCAGCCCAAGTATTCTAGATTCAGTTAAGGGCAGAAAAAATATGTTTAAGAGGACCTACTGTTAACAGAATTATAAAAAATTACTCAAATTATGTAATTAAAGTGGTGGACAGTAGAGGAAACTCATATCCTTTATGCTCCATGCCCTGATTTTCCTTACTGATGGACCAGTAAGAGATCTCTTTTACTGCTAAGTAATGAAAGTCATGCAACTGCACACTTAAAGATATTTGGAAGCCAACAGCTAGACACTGTTTGCCACAACATAAGTTTACCCCCAAATCTAAATTGCTACTGTTTTTTTCCCTCATGAAATAAGAACATAAGACTATCTCTCCATATAATACATATAAATAGAAAAAAGGAAAAGCGCAGGGAAGACTTTTGTAAGACTTCCCATAGCAGCATCAACTGAATGTGAGAGTCAAAATTCATATTAAACTGGACACATGCAAAACATCCATATACCAACCTATATGCGTTTGAGCCATAACATCAGCTAGTCTGTGTGCAGCACCACTGCCTCCACTTTGTGTTGAGGAGGAGGAAGTGGTTGACGTGGTAGAGCCGTGGATCGCTTGACTGATCCAATGTTCCATGTTTATACTCCCCTGACTGGAGGTGGGAGTTCCCTGGGAGTCGCCCTGTACAGAACCTTCATCTTCTGAACCAGAAGAAGTATCTAGCAATTAAAAAGAGCCTGTTAACTTGCAGTGCTTTTGGGCTTTTTGAATAGAAACAAGGCATGTTTATGTTACAAATGTAAAGATAACTGCCATTAAGAAAAACACATGAAGGTAGGCAAACATAGCAAGAAAAATCTCTAATACTGAAAGCCCTGAAACAAAGTCAATTGCTAACTGCACACTGAGAGCGCTTTTCTGCTCTAAGACCATGGCTTTTTGTATTATTATACAAAAATAAGGACAATTAATGAGTCTTCCTTTATAACGTGGGTTGAGAACAGACTATCTAAAGTACTTTCCCAAGCTCATTCACTAAAGTCTGTGAAACACTTTTCCAGCTGCAGAAAGCCCACCCCTCTGTGAGAAATGGGAGTCTCAGCTGATTATAAGAATGCCTGAGGTATGGAGTATTTTCACAGTCTAGAAGATGAACGAGTAGATGAATTGGAAAAGGAATGGCACAACTAATTGTAAAGACAATGTTCCATTTTAGTGGTAGGGAATAAATTAGAAACTTAAAAGGAACTTTGAATCGCAAAAATATGACAAGCTGGCCATAGTTAGGTCCTCATAAGACCAAAAGGACCAATGCAAGTTGAGGTACCACCAAGGGCAAAGTAATCATGCGAACTGCCCCAGTTGACTTTCCAACCATTCAGTTCTGCTTCTCTTCTTCAAACATACCTCAATGTTACGCTCAGTGTGCTTCAAATGACATTTCCATTGCTATCTACGCAAGCAGATTATTAGTTCATAGCGGCACAAGGAACCACTTTCACAATTCTCAGAAAATACAGAGATGCTCACCTGGAGGTGTGTAGGCATCCATCGATGTCTGCACCACCAATGAACGTCGTTTTGAGGGCATGGGGACTGCCATTTTCCTTTCTTTATGCTTAGCAAGGGCTGCCTGAACGGCTTCCGTGTGCACATCTGGAAGGAAAGGGAGATTTCAAGCAAGCGTTCAGACAGAAGTGCGCTGTTTGCCTGTGCAGTCGGTGCACCTGCACACAGGTTCCTTTGTGTGCCGCCAGGCTGACAGCGCGAATCAAATTATGAAAGGCCAGGAATGCACGGGATCTCAGAGGGACTGACTTCACTGCAGAAAAAGCAGCTATGGTGAAAAGTGCTGTACCAACAAATAAGGCCTTTGAGCTGTAAAATATTCCCAGAACAGTGTTGCAGTATTTGAAGAGTAGGAACTGCATTCCCCAGAGCAAACCTCTGTTTAACCAAGAGCTGTTACTTCAGCAACCATTATTGTTTTCAGTGAAAGCGCAGTGTATTAACATTACCTGTTTTTTAAATGAATGAGGTTTCCGATTTACACAAGTCACACAAACTAAGTGAGCAGGAACATCTGCTTTACAGGTAGGAGGTATGTGAAATGTCACAACAGAAATGCCAGCAAGTCTCCCATTCCCAAATCCTCCTCCTGGCTCCTTCACTTGCCTTTATCCACAGAAAAATATTACAGAGTGTTGCCCTGAGGTGGAATAAGAAGAAAAAGCACCCTGAGCACAGGCCTGGCGCATTGCAGGCGGGTGTTACACAGCTCACACCAGCCCCCTCCAAAGCATCCAACCTTCTCCATCCCTTCTCCATGGAGACATCCCCAGTGAGGAGCTTCTCTACCTTTCACATGTATATACAGCTGTCTGCCTTCCAAAAGTCCATTTATCATGTCTCAAAGATACTAGCAACATATTTTGATTAATTACCTCTTTTGTGTAAATCTTTAAGTTACTATCATAACTATATCTTGAAATAAGCCTGCCTTTAGTTTGTCTACTATTTGTCTGCATATTTCTGTAAGTCTGGGACAAGACGCATGTGAGAAGATTGCATGCAAAACACACGGCAACCCACAAAAGTCACTTATAGTTGATGAAGTTGCCACACGCCGACCATCTGACACACAACTGGAAGCTCATTAGATATTATCTTTTAACCAGTTGCCACTAGTCAGCTGTAGAAAACGCAGCAAGTTGTGTGCACCGGTTAGCTGTTCCCATTTGTGAAATTGGAGCATAGTGAAGCAGGTTTAATCCAGAGTGATCCCACCTCTGCTGCTGCTAAGTTTGTTTGAAGACCACCCCTGCAGGCTGGTTTGGCAGCACATAGCCCGTTTCTACGCCTGTGCTGATGTGGTGGCAGCTCTGGACAAGCAACGTTCCCCAGGAAAAGCAACAGGAAAGAGAAGAGTGTAATATCTTTAATTAAAGAGCAGCTGGTTGGATCACATCACTATAAGTAACTTGTTTTAAGTAACAACTAGGAAGGATGACTGGAAGCATTAGATGATACACTCTGCTGATAAGCCACAATGTCTCATTTTTAATAACAGTTAAATCTATCTTCTGCCAGGGTTTAAGCACCTCTCAGTGGAAAGACTGCAGGGAAGAGTAAGTCTAAGGAAATGAACGTTATCAGCTGCTTCTGTGAGTTGTTTCTTGCTTTTGTTTTAAACCATGAAGAGGATGAGCACGTCAGCAAAAGCAAAGCAAGAAAAGCAAGCAGCAAAGTCGGAAAAGCATACTCCAAAGATAAAAGAGCTGTGCGTGTGACAGACAAAAACAGAGGAAGATTGCCATGCTAACAGCAAACCAGAAAACAATTTCTCTTCTGCCAAGTCATTATTTTAAAGCAGGAGGTGTAAGGTCTTTCTTATAATTGAAACCTGATGAAAAGTTTACGTGAAAAGTATCAGGCTAAGCAAATAAACAATGTAAGTCTTTACCTAACAGCATGTCCCCAAGATAAACTCCTACCTGCTCACTCCACACCAGTGCCAATGCAGGACTGAACATGCCCACTGACAGTCTGTGCTTCTTATCCATCACACAGCGAAAATTTTTAGCTTTCCTTCAAAGGATAGCAATCAGATATCAAGCAGTAAAAAATGAGCTTTCCCTTTTCAAAAGAAAACAAACCAAAACTCTACAGCAATTTTTGGAAGACAGCAAGTTTTGCTGATCAAGACAGGAAGAATTATTTGTATATTATTGTATTTAGGATTGTCTTTTATGGTATTAGGAGGAAGATGAGCTGTAACTCAAATTCTCCAGAAGTGTTTTAAAGAAGGATAGCTGAGAGAAGATAATTATTAAAATGCTTAGTGACAACTGGACACTGAATTATAACTTGCAAATTGTTTGATTTGCTTTCTTGCTGCTTCTCTGATATAAGAAGGTAAACTCATGAACTTAATTAAAAAAACACTCTGCAGGGTTTTGATTTTCAAATGAGTCCACAGGAGTCCAGGAATTGAATTGTTTTCTTAATAAAGCACATGCCTGATATGTTTATTTGTAATGGGCTACTGGGGAATAAACCAAAATATAGATTACTAAAAAAAGCCAAACACCCCCAAAATCCCACAGGAAAGCAAAAACGATGAAAGAGTTAAGAAATTCTGAATAAACAACAGGAGAAGGAACACGCACACCTGCTCCCAGCCCAGCCTGCAAGATCAACTCTTCTGAAAGCATTGCTCAGAGGAGGGAGGCTACCAAAAAAACCAGGCCACATATCTAGAAGAGGCTGAGGAGAGGCAGTCCAGAGATGACCAGGGACTACCAGCAAGACCTTACAGGCTTTTAGGGAGAGGAAAATGAGGCAGCAGAAACACTCAAGTTTGCGTGAAAAATCTTTTCACAACATCCTCTACCGAGAATAAAACTGTTGGCTGAATGAAGAGTCTCTAAGCATATAAAGAAAGGCCAAGGATTAGGTAAAGAATGAATAACAGCCTATACAGTTTGCATGCTCTTCTTTTTGACTGAAAGCCTATTGATGAGTTCTGAAGATGCTCTTCAATCTCCTTTGACAGCCTTGTGTAGAGACGGGCTTGTTAAGCTAATGAACAGCACTCAAACCATTCCTACCTAGAGACTAAGTCCCGAAGTATTGAAAAATCACAGAGGTGAGGGAAAGCCAGGCTGATACTCACAAATTACACTGGAGAACAACACACAGGTTACAACATCTATCCTGGAACCACATCAAGACAGAAACACTAAGTAGGTTTGTTCCCAACAAATATCAGCTTCAGGTATGCACTTCCCATACACGTACTTCTCTTTTCTCTAGGTTTTAGCTTTGCTTTTCTGATCTACAAGCCCACTCTGCTGATGTATCACAAGGAACATTAACCAAAGTACAACTCATTAAAACCCGTTTTTTGTAGTTTCATGAAGCATGGATTTAAACCTAAACTGAAACCTTCCTCACTAAAGGGTGACCCTGGTGATTTGCTGCTCATCAATTTGAGCAGGAGCGCGGTAGCTCTCTGCCTTTATCTCGGTGAAAGATGGGCTACGGTGTCCATCATATTGTATGTGACCCGTTCTCTTCCACTGCTCGCCCACAGACTGTGCCTAGCAGCTACTGGAAAAAAATATAAGGAGACTTCTAATAGGAATTTATACAAGAGTCACTGGAAGCTCCTTGTTCACTAAAGGAGGGAAACCACATTTGTGAAACAAAGTATAATGAAGGTAAGAATCCATATCCAAGTTCCCTCAGGACACGAAACTGCTTATTCCCCCAAACCCATCAGTACAAAGCAGTTTGTATTCTCCACAAATCGCACTGAGCATCAGCAGAGAAGATCACATCAGAATTTCAAACCATCTCTGGCAGGTGATGCCCCTTGCACTGCAGGTCTGACAGAAGTTCCTGAAATGTCTTCTCAACCTACCCTGGCACAACTCAGTCTTCTTGTTAAATTTTCCTGAAAAGAGTTGCTCACGTACAAAGATTTTGTCCAGAAACACCACACAATTAGGAGCTCTCATTTAAAAAATCAACAAAACTCCACCTCTCCTCTCTTTCCTCATCACGTGGCAATTTCTCACCTACTATAAACTTCTGATAGTTTCAAACGCAGATGGACCTTGATGTAGTTGCACTCAAGCCTTCTGAAAAAACCCCAGGTCTAAGCGGGAAGAAAATGCTTTTAGGCAAAACGTTCTTTCATGCTGCAGTCTGTGACATTCAACTGCACTGCTACAGTTGATGAAACAACTCCAGGTCCTGACCCTTCAAAGGGGTCCCATGGGACTCTTTGGTTACCTATAGGTAACAAACTCTTTATACTCTTCCCACCTGGCTTTTCCACAAGAAAGTCTCAATGGAAAATCTAGAGCACAGCGTAGAATATCACCATCTCTATCTACAGCAGTAGGAACCAGTGCACAGTTCCTTATCTGCTGTTGCCCTCCACTGTTTTAGGATGGCCAGTCATATGTTGAATCTGATTTGCGAGTTTGTACTCAAGGAGTTAATAAATGGGAAAGGGTAAAGCAATATGCTTGGAAAGCCAAATTGCTGTTGCAAACAACTGGTGTTCAGTGTTCGACTTGGCACATATTTCTCATTGGCTTCCTGATAATACTTAACAAACTTCAGATAAAACGGCTCTGTCCCCAGTCTTCTCTCTGTTGCATTCAAGCCTTTTTATTTGTTTATTCTCTCCCTCTACTTTCTATGACAGGATAGAGAGGGCAAGCAGACTTCTGGAAGTAAAGTCAGTAAGTGAAATATAAAGGAAGTGGAACTATAAAAACAAGCACATGGTGGAGGGAAAGTGTCCCTTCAAAGAGCTAACGATCTATTGAACAAGAGATGAGGCCTCAGAACAAAGGACAGAGAAATTAAAACTGGTGCAGAGCATGAAGGTCCATAGGCTCAGACTCCCACAGTGATGACTCATGGCTTTGGCCACTGTGCTCCATAAGCAGCATCTCCCATCTCCTGCAAACAGAGAGGAGCTCTTCACTCCTTCAGCAGCTTTCCCAGGAGGTTTCAAAAAGGTTAAATAATAATGCCCAGAAATATAGAAGCAAACACTGCTAATTACAGATTGCTCATACTGTTTACTGCTTTTTCACAGCATTCTTTAACCACTTCTTCCCTATATTTTTGCAGAC